GGATTTCTTGTGCTCTCACTTTGTTTTTCGTCTGTTCCTGTATTATTTATTTATTTATTTATTCTGAATATCTGCCATTTTCCCGTTGCCCGCTGGCAGACTACCGGATCTCTGAGCTGGTAGGGCCTGCAGAGGAATGTGCGGGAGCCAACTGTTACGTAGTGAACTTAGCCGACGGGAAAGGAGGCAGAACGGATCTAGCAGTAGACCAATTGTTTTAGATTTGATACTGTAGAAATTGATAACGGGCCGAGGGCCCCGACTATTGAACTAACAGTTCAGATGAAGTCAGTCTTTTGGGATATGAGGTTCGAGGGACCCCCCCTGACGAGGATCGGTTGGCGACCGATCGAAACGCGGCGTAGGGGGAAGCCGCGGGCAGAGAGGTGGAGGCTGACACTAAGGTGTCATGCCTGTAGGATCTCCATCGCTAGGAGGTGGTGAGGAGATCGCAAATGAGGTGGCGCTTATTGTGTATCACTCGTGGGCTTTTTTTGGAGATTTATCAACTCATTTGCTCTTCTTTTCTCTCTTGGATGTGTGGAGATAATGCATGCATGTGACCACGCTGGTGGCTGACTACGATCCACGTAAGAGGACTGAAGCGATAACTGACAGGGAAGGATACCCAGGACGGTGGTCGCTACGCTAACAGAGATGGGATGCTACACTTGCGGCCAGGAGGACCACTTTGCGAGGGATTGCCCGCAAAGGGTGGGCGTGGCTGGGAACGGTAGTAATAATAATAATAATAATAACTTTGGCAGCAATAATAATAATTATAGATCGAATGGGATGACATGGCAGCAGAGGAAAGATTTTAAAGATATCGGGTGGATGAGAGCGCTATGCGCGGATTTGGCGAAGGAGAGAAAGGAAAAGGAGGAGCGTGAAAAGGAACAAGAACGTTTGAAGGAGGAGGCGGAAAGGAGGAGAAGGGAAGAGGAGCTACATCTTCAGCACAAGAACGAGATCGAGAGGCAAGCAGAGATACGGGATGCACGCCTGATGTCCGCTATGACGTCCCAACTGAAGTCAGTGCATGACAAGCTCGTGGGGCAAATGGACGAAGTACGATCCAAAGTGCTGACCGGAGATATGCAACGCGCGGATGTCGGAAGAATGCGGAATGAAGTGCTTGAACTTGAACGGGAACTTGCGAAGGAGGACAGTCCCGAGAAGGAGAGAGAAGAACTCAAGACGAAGTTGACACAACTATGAAAACTCAAGGAAGAACGCGATCGGGCTCGGATGAAGAGGAAGGTACTGGAAGAAGAGATGAGGTGGGAGATGGAACAGACGCGGCAGGAATTGGAATTCGAGGAAGACCAGCTCGCACCATCATCATCTGCAAGGCCTCCTAGGAAGCGGGTGGAACAGACGCGGCAGGATTTGGAATTCGAGGAAGACCGGCTCGCACCATCATCTTCTGCAAGGCCTCCTAGGAAGCGAAGCCTCGTGACTCCGCGAACCCCCTCTCGATCTCGCCGCGCCAAGCAGCCGCAGTCCGGGATCCGCATCGAAGAACCATCTACTCCGAGGACGCCTGTGACACGGTCACGTGCAAAGAAGAACCTTATCATTGACAACGAGTCTCTGATCGATGGTTGGAGGGACATTACAAAGAAGGACACGAACACGAATGTCGTGGACTTATGCATGAGCATGCGAGGATACCTTCGAACCAGACCGATGAGCGAGCTACAATGCCTCTGTGACGAAGAGAGCATTACCTACGTAACACGGGAAAAAGATACCAAGGCACCCATTTCCGCTAAGATGCAAGAAGCCATGCTGCGCACGAATGTCCGATCTGACGAGGAGGAGGAGCAGGAGGTGAAACCGGGACGTAATCTGGATATCGACGATAACTGAACTGGTTCCCCCGAACGACTTCGGACAATGTGGGACTCATTGGTAGCCTTTAGGAAAACGAGAGGAAGGGATCGATCTGTGGACAAGGTAGTTGATACTGCACTAAGGATGATTATCGTTCTCCTTACGATGCACGGAGCACTGCCTTGGACCGAAAAATTCAGGGATATGTGAAGCGTGGAGGGTTTGGACTGGGAGAATCCGGAGCGTTGCGTTTATGCTCTGGTCTCGGCAAATTGTAGAAAAATCTACATCGAAAGGACGGGGTGAGAATTTAGCCTGAGATGGAAGGACCATCTTGCCTGTAGTCGAGGTAAGGAGAGTAAGAGTCAGGCGCTTTACCGCTGGCTTAGAAAGATAGGGCCGGAGGAGTATATAGCTTTACCTCTTACGACAGTAGAGGATGGCGCTGATCTGGCACGGATCGAAAGGTGCCTGATTAGACGTTGGTCCCCAGATCTCAACCGTCAGGAAATTAGACAACCATGTCCGAGGAGAAGAAGGAGGAGGAAAGGGAGAAGAGAAAGAAAGGGAAGGAGAGTCACGAGAGAAAAGAAAGGGAATATCCTCCACTTCACGGACAAGGATGGGAACACAACTACGCGTCTGACTGATTACATGGAACGAGCTCTCAAAAATGGACGATGGGATATACATGTCACTTGTACGGGAGACATATGGTGTGAGGATTGGAAAGTCCTGAAGCGTAGATTTGGGATGACACTGATCGAAGTACGGGGGGTGAAATGCCTTCTTAAGGAGGCGAAAGGCGGATCGAACTAGGGGGCGTGCTCACTATCATGGACCCGGCGGAGACTGTATCCTTCCCTTCGACGATTAGGCGGGAGCTGCTGCTGTTGCTTACACAACCTTGGCGGAGGAAGTTGCTGTGGAAAAAGGAGGACCATGAGTTGACCCACATGTACCAAGCAACTAGGGGTTTTGATAAGAGTAGTAGACAACGGATGAGGAATATTATCTCAAGGGTGCTCAATGAAAAACTGGGTACTAATCTGAGGAAGAGGCACATAATCAGGATTCCGTATGATGATAGGGTGGATCGGAGGAGAATTGGGGATATAGAGAAAGCAAAGATTGGGGATCTGGGGTTGCACGATTCGATGGCAAGCATCGTACGAAGACACGTCCGAGTTGTCTGGATGAAGAGACAGGCAGTTGGGGATGTGCTTCACAACCATAGAGACTACGCGTGCTCTAATGGTAGCATTTGCGTTTGCGCAAATAACCCTTTCCCACTAGTGGAAGGACACGTGCGTTGCAGACTCTCGGACCTGGGAGGCCCAACTTTTCTACTCAATGCCAGGAATATTCCAACACAACGGACAAGGGAAGTAAGGAGAGGGATCATGGCCGCTATCCTCGATGGACTGGGATAAATTTTTAGGACCTCGGGAAAATGCCTGGCTGTTCACATGGCGGAGATTCAAGACTGCGTACGTGAAAGGGAGACTGCATTTGAGGGCCAGTTCCACCTCGTGCAGGACTGGAGACAACGACTCCGGGGGCTCGTCTGCATGCCGATGGACCGCAATCCAGGGGCGACATACGTCGTCTGTCCGACGGTATACGCTAGAGCACTACGAGATATGTTCTGGCATGGAGGAAGTTTTAGCATGTGTACCTTATCGGCGGATGAGGCACTGGCCACCTGCCGAAGAAAGTACGAAGAGCGGGGCCTTAAGGATCTGGGAGCATGGCGCAAGAAAGGGAGATTCGGCGACATGTATGTCCTACCGAAACACAAAGATCCCGCGAGATGGCGGTCGATCGCCCCTGCTTGGAATTCGCCCTCGAAGGTTGGAGCGAAGAAGGTGGCTAAAGCTTTGCAATGTATGCTCGGAAGCCTGGTGAGGGGTCTGCACTTTAACACCTATTCGTCAGAAGATGCAATCAAGAGACTACATGGCTGGGCATCTCATTTGGAGAAGGGACAGGGAGTGATGACAGCCTCCTTCGACATCACGAACATGTTTGCTGAGCTACCACATGCGGCGATCCTGGAGTCACTCGAATGGATGATCCGGATGATGGAGGCAAAAGGATTCGACAGGGTGAATGTGAACTGCCGGGGAAAGAAGCTAGCGATGGGAAAACAGAACAGGGACGGACACTTCCCTGTGAAGTTTGATCGTATACGGAAGTGGGTCAGATATGAGCTGGAGTTTTCCTACAGTCTGGCCGAGGGTGAGCTGATACAGCAAATCCAGGGGATCCCCATGGGGGGTCACACGAGCCCTTCCCTCGCGTGCATCCTTTGTGTCCGTAGTGAGGCCCAGTTCATGTATGAACTGGGGACACTTCGGAAGAGGATCCTGGGATTGAGACTCATGGACGATGTGGCTGTCTTTGTCCGCTTCGTTCAAGAGAAGACGGAATCAGCCTGTCAAGCAAGGGACATACTTGAGAAACTGAAAGGATGCTACCCTTCGTCCCTATCTCTGGAACGGACGCATGCTGACGACGGGACGCCCTCGTTCCTGGGGTGTAGGATCCTTGTCGATCAGGAAGGACCGAAGATCACATCGGTACTGCAGATGAAGAACCAAGACTGTATGAGTGGAGACCAACCACTGACGTTCCAGTGCATCCAGGACTTCAGGTCCTATAGTGACAAACAGACCAAGACCTCCATGATTAAGAGTTATCTGCACCTTATCGTGCGATGTTCGAATGATGCTGCACTAAGAGATCTTCCTGTGGCCTGCCTGAGGAAAGAGCTCCGTACGAGACATTTCCCTGTGCCCGTAATTGAAAAAGTGGTGCAATCTTTTGAATGTGATCAGAGGGTGAGACTAGGAAGGGAACCCTCCATCCACGAAGGATGGAGGTAGAAGAGAGAGAGAGAGAGAGAGA